TTCATTTAAAATGATGGATCTTAACCGTAAACATTTGCGCACTACACTATTGTTGATGCTCGTGTGTGAGTATGTTAGTAATGGAGCGGGTTTGCTGTCGGGATGATAACTGGAGAGCATGCAGTAGCAGTAGGATGAGCAATAATAACACTTCTTCAGAGTTTTCTTTTATTTATTTTCTTGATGTTTTATTCTTACATTGCCAGATTTGGAATGTTTAACCACAAAAGACGCCCCTTTTTATAGGCAATTTTGACCAATCACAATGGTTGATTTTGCACACGGCACTAATGTATTGCACACGACACTAATGATTGCCCGTCGACCAATCAGAGCGCAGGGCGACTTTTTCATTTCACAAATTTCTTTTATTTTTGTGGTAAATCATCCCTTACTATGTTTTTATAATTCTGATATTAGAACTAGTTTATATTTGCCATATTAAACATTAAACATCCTTAAAATTCTTATTTTACACCTTTAATAAATAAAAATACTGAAGCGGTCTTGTCACGGTATAGCTCCCTAGTAGCTAATACTGGAGCGGTTTTCTCACGGTATAGCTCCCTAGTAGTTAAGCTTTTCCTGCGTTAAATACACGTCCCATACTCCCCCTCTCTCCCGTCCCGACGGTACGGTTGCCTTCGAGGCCGAGGAAAAGGCTGAGTGCTTTGCAGATAGCATTGCCGCACAATGCTCTCCTAGCTCTCAACCCGTCGACCCCTCACACGTCCAGGCAGTGGAAGATGAGGTCCGCCGCCGGAACTCACCCCCTACAGCCTCCGAACCTATCTATGTGTCCAATGATGAGATTTCATCCCTCATTAAAGGACTTAAGCCTAAAAAGGCTCCGGGCGCGGATGGCATCTCCAACCAAGCCCTAAAACACTTTCCTGAGCAGATGTTAACCTTTTTCTATTCATTTTATATCTATTATCTTCAACGCCTGCTTCAACCTTAGTTACTTTCCCACTACGTGGAAAGAGGTAACTGTGATTGATATTCCCAAGCCAGGCAAGCCTTTCAACCTCCCCTCCAGTCATCGCCCTATTAGCCTCCTCAAGGAAATGGGCAAGCTCTTCGAAAGAGTCATCCAAACTCGCATGAGGCGCTATCTGCTTCCCACAGACGGTGACCCTCTTATCATTCCCCATCAATTCGTTTTCCGAGCGCAACACTCATATCCCCAACAAGTTCACCGTATTGTGGAATATATCCTCAGCGGTTTTTATCCTCGGCGTCATAAGACCATCGCGGTCTTTTTCGACATAGTTAAAGCCTTCGATAGAGTCTGGCATACAGGCCTTATCTACAAGCTGTACAAAATAGGTCTCCCCGATCGTCTAGTACGTCTCGTGGCCTGTTACTTAAAGCATCGTACCTTTCGTTTTAGACACGAAGGCACGCTTCTTCACTTCTTCGCGCACTCTTCACAGCGCCCTATCAAAGCTGGTGTCCCTCAGGGCTCAGTACTTGCTCCTCTGCTGTACATCCTGTTCACCAACGACATTCCCATCCCGTCGAAAGGTGTTCAGCTCTCCCTCTTCGCAGACGACACTGCTATCTACTGCAAAGGTATCTCGCTACCTTTCATACGGAACAAGGTTCAAAAGTCAATTGACGACCTTGGAGCTTGGTTCAAAAAATGGCGCATCGATGTGAACCCGGAGAAGAGCTCCGCCGTTCACTTCGATTATAAACGACGCCGTCTCAAAAACACTCCACCAATACGTATGCTAGGGACCCCTGTCCCCTAGCATACGACTGCCAAATATTTAGGTGTCACTCTAGACACAAGGCTCACTTTCAGGTCCCACGTCAAAAGAGTAACCCGTCACGCACGTTTTTACCTGAGTAGGCTCAACAGTATGTTGGGCCGACACAGTAAAATGTCCCTTAGAAACAAGCGTACCTTTACAAGGTCTGTATACGACCAGTCATGTCCTACGCGGGCCCCGTTTTTGCCCACGCCGGCCCTAACATTATTAATGAATTCCAAATAGTTCAAAACCTTTTCTGTCGTCGAGCTGCGAACGCACCTTGGTACGTCCGTAATGCCGACCTTCATCGGGACCTAAAGGTCCCCAGCCACAATTCAACAATTTCTCAAAAAACTCTCTGAGAACTTCTTAAAAGCCTCAGAGTCGCACTCCAACCATTTAATTCGTGAGGCAGCTACTTATGCAGCCCCCCCCCCCTCTCGCTATCGAGTCCGCCGGCCGAGAAACTCTCACTCGGACCCGCCTAATAAACTATCAAACGACCTGAACTGCCTCCTGGCGGCTCAGGCCAACTCTAATTAAATAAAATTATTTATTCATAATTAATTTGCCTTCGTAGGCACTCCCTCAGCGTCTCGTAGCCCCCTGCGCCCTCTTTTCCCATAAGAGGGTCGCTCAAGATACGGCACAATAAAGCTTAATCAGCCAGTTGCCAGTCCCCAAAGGCGGTTTTTAGAAGGTATCACTTAGGTTCCCCGGTAGAATGTGAGTCCCTCATAACCACGATAGACCGGCTATCGTGGTATGCGTAATGCATTTTCCGCCTCCCTACGTATAGGGTAGCCCTTTAATTGCTTCGGGCGCAAAAAAAAATACACGTAGTGCCGCCAGGCGGCAGGAATGCACAATGCTTATCGTGATAACAAAATTACGCTTAATCTTAAGACTTTATGCAGAATACATTTAAATTTTCTTATTGACTAAGATCTATTTTTATAATAGAAAACGAAATTATACAAGTAGTTAAATCACGTATTGTCGTAGTTTTTAAATTACAATAAAAACAGAATTAAACAAGTTATTAAATTTACACTTCGTTGCTAGCATTTCTAATGTGGTTTTTAGATTATAAATAAGAATAAAGTTAAAATAGTAATTAGATTCACTTTTCATTACTAACACTAACAGTCTTTACGTAGTTTCTGATCACAAATAAGAATAAAATGGAAATAAGCAATTAGATTCACTTTTCGTCGCTAACATTCTCCCCCACGGTGCGTAGCACTTCATCTTCCGGAGGCGACGATTCTGCTGGTACCAGGACGATGACCCGTCGAGTTGGGCGGCGAAGTATCCCTCCTGATGTCCGCACGTCCAGCACTCTGGTTTTTCCGTCTGGTCCGGGATAGGTCTTGACAACTTCTCCGCGAGGCCATGAGTTTCGTGGTAACGTAGCGTCCACTATTAGCACAATGTCTCCTTCTCTTGGGTCTTTGGTTTCTCTCTTCTCGAGTTTCCTTGGCATCAGGAGTAATGAGTAAAAGTCTGGCGAGTCAGAATTTGCCATCAAATGTCTCAGTTGAATAGGTCTTAGCCCGGGTGATTCTGTTTACGGTATAATTTTGGGTTGGTTACCTGTCGAGATTGATCACACATCATTTGGCAAAGCACCTGAAGTAGATGGGCGCACAGATGAGAAGCACTGCTCATCATCACTTTCACTATCTGACAAGATACGACGTCGCTTCCTACTACGTGGGACAGCCAAAGATTATTCCTCACTATCTGTGGCCGAAAAACTGCGCTTGCGTTGACACGATAGTTCGATTTTATTAATTTAATCTAAATCGTCTCGACTTAATTCTATATCGTCGAAAAACATAGTTCACAGTCGAATATTTACTATTTACGACACAACTATTACGAATAGTTGAAATAACCTCAAAATCGTAATAAAACAAAAAGTGGTTAAAACGAGGCAATCTTAGTCCTCGCATTTGCATTTTTAATCGAGGATAGATGCAGATGTTTATGGACCACAGCATCCACTTACAATCATGTGAACTGTGTGCTCATTTGTCACTTATTCTATGAAAAAATATTAACGACAATATACAGTCTGGAAATTGCTATTTATTTAATTTACAACCGTTTTTATAATAGCTTACATAATTTTTTACCGTCTCTAAAATTAAACGGTTATTAAATTTAAGCTTTGAATAATTCTAAATTACTGATATAATTTATTTAAATAATGGGAGGGAAATCATGGACACGAAGTGATAAATTAAATATTTATTAATAATGTTAGTAAATTATTTTTGGTTTTTTCATCACTATGTTTTCAAAATTTTTAACGAATTTTTTTTCTATAACATACACATATGAATATACATATATAATTACACTAGAACGTATACAATTATTTTTCCTGTAACTAAATATATTAAGCAATAAATAAACATATTTAATACAAATATTTACAAAAATTTGTTTAAGTAAAAATTACAGCAACTGCTGGGCACAGGCTTCCCTCATTCAATTAAGAGAAGAATATCCGTTGCGCTACTTGTTGAAATATTTTTTTTTTCTTATTTTATTCATACATGTAGGTTTCCTTACGACGTTATCCTCCGAGAACGTGGTAAATCAGCACTTAAAATTGCTATTGTCGGCTGAGATCGAACCCGGGTTCTATGTACTAAATTTACAGCGAGCGCTTAGCCACATGGCTCATTTATGTAAACAGTGTTAAAAACTTTAAAATTCAATATTAAGTTGCTAGCCTAAAACGCGCTAGCCCTGTCTGCGTATGTAACCTAAGGTTACACGCGATTGTAAGTGTTTACGTCATACAGGTAGCAAGAGTGAGAGAGGCCGTAGAATTATATCCAAATACATTTTAATCTAATTTTAATTCTTATTTACTTCAGTTGAACAAAACCTAAAAGAATTCCTAATGTGCATTTTACATATTTTCATTTTTATTGCTACAGTAAAAGAACTAAGATCTACTTGAAGATTCATATCCAGACGTACTTTAGCATGAAAACAGGGACATAAAAGTATATTCAAGTATAAGTTTCCACTTCTAACTCTAATCAACATCTCCGGTAACTTTGGATTTGCGACCTTCTTTCAACGTGTTATGAACAATAAAGCAGTTTGACACATAAACTATGGAAAAAAACCTCTGGAAACAACAGTTGTCACTCCATAGATGATACATACTATACTAGGATGTCACTTAGTTTCGAAGAATTGTTATCTAAAATTACTATGTTAAGCAGTAAGTAAGTTGGGAATCGATTACGAGAGTGACTAAATTAATTTTCTTTATTTTATTTTTGTACGAGTTCTATATAAATGGATTTGTTTATAGTAAATGATGGTGGAGGATGTAGTGTAGACGATATTTTTGAGTACTTAAACATAATATTTAAATTCAAGTTCTTGTTATAAAGCGTCTGATTTGGGCGATTAAATTTAGTTCATTTTATGACGGCGCATTATTATTAATTTAATCTAATTTAATTTAAAGTATTGTCTTTCAAAATTCATTATATTTATTAAAACTCTATACTTTAAACATTTAAAACGTATTAAATATTAGAAATAAAATTCGATTATAATCGAAAATAGAGGTAAGTAACATTTATATTATAATTGGGAAATAGGTAAAAAAAACTTCGTAGTTATTGAGCATGTTCTTGTAATGGTGGAGCATGTTCATGTAATTATTGCTTTTATTACGGAGCTGCTGGAGACGGAAATCCCAAAATCATACAGATATATGGGGTAGTCAGGTGCCTGACTACCAAAGTATGTTGCCAAGTTATTGTCCGATATTAACCTTTTTGAGCCATAACGTTTAAAAAATTAAAGATAGGAATTTTTTAAACGTTTTAAACGTGTTAGAGCCATGCTGCAGCTATACGAGGTATAATTGTAGCACGAATGGGTCGGCTCGACCTGGGAACGACCACGCCCTCACAGAATACCTGCATATGATGGCATCCTAACGCTGCTGTGTTTTGTATGGTGAGTGTAGAGAACCGGAGACCCTGTTTACTGGAGTGGAGGCATTCCAGTCTTAGTTGTCACGGGTAACAACGAATTTGCATTTTGATCGGTAAACGAGGATGATAGACGAGATGTAAATGTCTATGGGCCACAGCAACCACGTAGCATCAGGTGCCCTGTGTGCTCGTTTGTCTCCCTTATCTTATAAAAAATTTATCAGCATCGTTCTGGTCAGCTTGCTAATAAGGTTTTACGAAAGGACGTTTTTCATTATAATAATTATCACGCCAAATACTCTGAGGAATTGTGTACGTTGCGACTCAATTTGAAATTCCATCTACACCATCTTATTTTACTTTTATTTATTTACTTTTTATCATACTCCTTATAATAAGGGATATAAGAGCGTATTTAATGGTTTATGGCATTCTCTACCAGTTAAATGGATGATAATCCACCTCAATTCGATTTCCAGAACTATTAGATAGGTATCGAGACTTTTTTTATCTGAAGTTTTTTTCTAATATTTTTAGGACCCTTGAAAAAAAAAAACGACTACGTCTCAATTCAAGGAAATATGGTCCTTCAATCGGTACTCAACCTAATATGTAATCTGTAGGCCTATGCCATGAGATAAACTAATTTTTTTTTATATAAAAGAGGGGGGAAAACGAGCGTGCGGCTCACCTGTTGTGACTACCGCCGCCCATGATCGACCGCAACACCATGGGAATTGCAGATGCGTTGCCGGCCCTTTAAAAAGGAGTACGCTCTTTTCTTGAAGGTCCCCAGGTCGTATCGGTCCGGAAAAATCGCCGGTGGTAAACTATTCCACAAAGAGGTTGTACGCGGAAGAAAACTCCTCTTGAAACGTACAGTGGTGGACCGCCAAGCAACCAGATGGTGTGGATGGTATCGGGACGTTTGCCGCGTAGTGCGTTCACGAAATTTGGCGGCTAGGATTAATCCGAACAATTCCTCAGAGTACTCTCCATGGTATATGCGAAAGAAAATGCAAAGAGATGCAACATCTCTTCGCAGTGCCAGTGAATCGAGTCGATCGGAAAACACTCGGTCGTCGACGATTCGAGCCGCTCTGCGCTGGATGCGGTCAAGTGGAAGGAGCTGGTACTGGGGGAGCCCCAGCCCAGAGATGGGAACAGTATTCCATGTGCGGCCGAACCTGCGCCTTGTAAAGTTGCAGGCGGTGTGCCGGCATGAAATACTGTCCCGCTCTGCTGAGCACGCCAAGCTTTTTAGAGGCCAATTTGGCCTTCTCTTCCAAGTGACCACGAAACTGCAAGTCACTCGATATGTCGACGCCGAGAATTCCGATACTGGCTGAAGCAACAAGGGGAGTGCCTTGAAACTGAGGAGATACGACAAAGGGGTTCTTTTTAGCGGTTAACGCGCAAATTTGTGTCTTCTGGGGGTTAAACTGGACTAGATTTAGTCGTCCCCAATCCGAGACTCTGTTCAGCAAAGACTCGACTTCAGACCCAAGTTTGTCCCGGCACTCGGAGACGTTTTCCCGAGAAATATTGGCTCGGTGTAAAGAGCATCACCAGTGCTGTCATCTGCATAGCAATGAATGTTACGGGTTTGCAACATATCATTGATATGCAGAAGAAACAGTGTTGGCGATAGCACGCAGCCTTTTTTTTTGTTACACGCAGCCTTGTGAAACACCAGCATTAATAGGCTTGCAGTCGGAGCTTGCACCGTCTACAACGACCTTGATGCCCCGATCTGCAAGAAAGCGGGTGATCCAATCGCACAATTTCTCGGGAAGCCCATTGGATGGGAGCTTCGAAAGAAGCGCTTTGTGCCAAACCCGATCGAAGGCCTTCGCAATGTCCAACTAACGGCCTATGCCTCCCCCTTGGACTCTACTGCCTCCGTCTATCTGTGAGTTAGGTAGACCAGAAGATCACCAGCTGACCGACCACGGCGAAAAACCGTATTAGCGGTCACTAATCAGCTGGTGATCCTCAAGGTACCTCATGAGCTGGCAGTTTGCAATGGATTCCATTGTTTTGGAGAACAAGGATGGCGATAGGCCGGTAGTTGGACGGGTCTGAGTGGTCGCCTTTTTTAGGGATCGGGTGGACGAAAGCCGTCTTCCATGATTTTGGGACTACGCCTAGGGAGTAGCAGTACCGGAAAAGACTCGTTAAAACTGGTGCCAACTCTGGAGCATACGTCCTCATCACAATTGGGGGGATTCCGTCAGGCCCACTCGACTTGTGGATGTCCAGGGAGAGGAGTGCTTTGCGAACCGAGCGCTGTGTGAACTGCACTTCCGGAATGGAGCACTCACACCGCGGGATGGTCAGCGGCGTACTCCCCCCATCATCGAGAGTCGAGTTGGACGCAAAGAAAGAGCCTAGAAGTCCGGTTTTCTCCTTTGCGGTATGGGCCAGTGAGTCGTCCTCCCTGTGCAGAGACTGTAAATAAAACTAGTTTCAACGGATCATATCGCGTATATTAACTTATTTTATATTCCTGACGTTTCGAACATACAACCGGCGTCGAACACCTCCCCCCCTCCCCCCGTGACCATGGATGTTGTAAAGTGCAATGTAATCCGTAAAAACAGATTTTATTTAAATATGTTGTGTTTGCGTAAACATAAGAAATCATTAAAATAACTGTAGATGGTTACCTTTGTATTTTTTGTATCAATTGTTATTTGTAACAATGTTCTTAAATAATGAGAAGTATCTGCGTAATCCGCTTGCTAGGGGTGGCGATTTGAGCAAAAACTATTTTTTACTAAGGAATGACTTATAAAAAAAGAAGATTGTAAGATTTTAATTGGTAACTTTTATGTACTTATTATAAATAAAATATAAAAATAAAATGAAATTAAAGGTATTGTTACGAGCTTGGGGTTCGTGACAGTAAAAACTGCCGATTGAATTACCAAAATTGACACTTTAATTACCGAATACCAATTACAACTTAAAACTCACTAATAATAAAACACAATTGTACTACAGATCACTTTAGTTCGCAGTTATATGGCTTCGAAGTCTTCGCTTGAATTGCCAATTCAATACTGACTCGGTCGCAGTCCTAACCGGCCTTATATAGGGCCTCTTTGACTGAAACATCTAGAATGTTAGAGTACACACCGGTACTGTCTGACTAGGTGTAGAAAGTTTTAGCATGGAAATTTCTACATGGCGCTAGTGGTAAATGGCCATGTTGTTTTCTTATGTTTACGCGAGCACCACGCAACATAATTATAAAACTAATTTTACGGATTTTGTCGGGTTTAATTTTAACCTTTTAATTCCCGACGAGGAGGACTGAGGCATTGGACGTTGCGATGTCGAAGTTAGGCCGGCTAAATTCAGTTTTTGGATATTAATTTTTGGTCCGATCTATGCAGAACGAGTTTACAGTGTCTTGAAGTTTTTCAGAGGTAGTATGCTTGGGTTTGGATTTAATTTTATTATCTATAGGATTCCAAGCAGACGGTAGACCCAATTCATCTTCTCTATTTAAATTAGCATGTTTTTAATTTCTGACATTAGAATTTTATAGACCACAAATCCTCGCAAAAGAACAACAATTCCTACCAAGGATGATTAACAATGTTATTGAAATTAAAAAAATACATCCTAATTACAAATCATCACCTGCCCTATATATGTAGCCCATAAGCATCACTATTAGAGTAACAGAAGGGAAGGCAACTTCTTAAAAGGAATGAGCTCTTATCTTGAAGGTCCCATCAAATTATATATTTATATTCATCGATAACAAACTTCAAACACGTCGTATATTCTACATACTTCACCGTTATCAACACACTGCTCCCATTCTGTCAAATTATATTATCAGTGCGGGTTTTCAACGAACTAACGATACCTTAGCGAGAGAGATGTTATCATTGTCGTCGCGCTTACCCAAATCAAAACAATAATATAGTCATCGTATCTATCTATAAATTTATTCTAAATTGTGGTATATACGTAATATAGTAAATGAGTCTAAATTCATTAGATCACTCTAAAATTATCTTAATATATATAAATTACGTGTCAAGTTGTTTGTCCGCGATGGACTCCCAAGCTACTTAACCGATTTTAATCAAATTTGCACACCGTGTGCACTTTGGTTCAAATTGAGAGATAGGATAGTTTTTTGCTCATGAGTAGTTACTCACATTTTTTTTGCAAATTTACGGATTTTTAATAGGATATGACAAAGGGTCGACGAAAAAGGCAGTAAAACGTCTGCCTGGTAAGCTAGTTTACTGTATACTCGTAATTGTGAGCGTGCACGCATGCGTGCCATCTTAAAATTTTAACAGTTCTTGTCTGCTGTATTTATTTTATTATTTTTCTTCTACTTCGTCAGTTCGTGAAAGTCTATTGCTGCACATGGATCTCCTCTTTGTAAGGAAGGTTTTCTTAATAGTCACACTTGACAGAGGACAGACGTACACAGTACCTACGAGACGTGTCTCATGATTGAATTTTGCTGCCGTCAACAGGTTGGGTTCCTACGTCAGGCGTAAACGAGATAATTGTATAATGTTCTATCGAAAACTATAAGAGCTTTTTTGGCATTTTCCACACTCGTCTTTTACGCCTATTATGGGAAATGCAGTGTAAAATTCTCTTAACGCATGTTACTCTTACCTGTTATTACTATATTGTTGTATTTATTTTTTATGATGTAATATATTGTGACGTTGGACTTCTAATTCACGAATTAAAAATGGATACACGCGCACGCGCCATTGTGCGGTATACCATTTTCACTTAAGAGGATTGTTGTATCGCCATCGTGCGATATAGAGAGTTACAAATGTTGGAAGTAATTGCTTACATTAATTTAGATCTGTACGTTTTTTCTTTTTAGTAAGTTTTTCATTTTAGTTTAATTTAAAAAAAGAGCTCGTGGAAGTTTTTAAGTAAAAATAGAGATATTTAGATGCTAATAACTTTAATCGTTCGCAATATTTCCTTAAAATAAATACATACGAATCTAGTTTTTCATAATATCCATCATATTTCCAGAAAGTATAAAAATTAGACTATTTTTACTGGTGCTAAAACGTTATCGCTTTTTGTATGAAAATTTATGGCTTCACAATCCTCTTAACTTTAAGTACGTATATTAATTACCTTTAAATCGACGTTAATCCTTAAAATGTGATGTATTTTTATCACCTAAAAATTAATTTTAAATTTATTAGTACGTCAACGTGTAGTGTCAGTGTAAGAAAATCGACTGCCCCATGTCATCCCGCGGAGGAAAACTGAAAGAGAAAGAAAAAGAGAAAGAGAGGCAGCAGCATAATAATTGGAAATAATAATGATGATGCTGCTCCTGCCAGTTTAAATCGTTGTTCAGATTCTTCATCTGAGGGGGGATGAAGCTGCTCGCGCATTTGGGAATTACTTGAAACCTGACTCCTTACACGTATCCCCCGGGTAGTACTAAACAAGCAGTACTATATACCGGTGGTAGGTTGGTTCTCTACTAGTGAGAGGCTCTGCCGAGGGCTAATTACCACCCACCTGACAGACATACCGCCAAATGATGTAAGTCGTGTTGCGGTATGATGTTAGGTGGAACCCTTTTCATAGAGAGAATGAGTCTGGACAGTTGCGTTGCGCATAAGAACCGGTTGCGATGCGGCTGTTTCTTTGTGTCAGGTGCCTGGTTATGTAGGTTAGCGGCATTCGAAGCATGGTTGCACCGCTGGCTGACCGTTGATAGTTAGGGCCCCAATTAATGAGCTAGCCACTCATGAAAGGCTGCCCCACCACCTTATAAAAATCCTGGGATCTCGCCAGCTCTACCATGCTAGTTGGCGACCGGAGGAGAGGACCTGATGGTGATTTCCAGGGGGTTCGGGCGTCCCCGCGATCTCCATGCTAGGTACCATCTATGCTGTGACTTTGTTTGCGTCCCTAGGTTATATCTACCTAGGTTACCGTCAGGTGAGCCGTATTCTCGTTTGCCCCCCCCCCTAATGTAAAAAAATCTTATCCTTGGTGGCAGGTCTGCTTCTAGTCTGAAGTTCCGTCGAGCTGCGTGGATACCATAACTGATGTGATACATTAAGCGATGGAGAATTTTATCATTATTTCAGTATTTCATCCTTTACTGACGTGCCCATTGGTGGTAAAGCTTGTCCACGGTTCAACGCCGAGTGCTCTCGTGCTGAAAAGTACTTAACCTGCTCTTCCATACTCTGCAAGATTATTTAGCGTATATTGAACGCCCGCTTAATGGCATACCTAGAACAAAATGACCTCCTTAGTGACCGGCAGTACGGGTTTCGCCGAAATCAGTCAGCTGGGAACCTTCTAGCGTATGCCATACACATATGAGGCGAGGCTCTCGAGAACAGTGGGGAAGCACTTGCTGTTTCCCTTGATGTCTCGAAGGCTTTTGACAGAGTTTAGCACGTTAGCCTTTTGGGTAAGCTTCCAGCGTACGGCTTATTCCCTGGTCTGATTGAATGGGTAAAGGACTTTCTGAGTGAACGGTCGTCATCAATGGTTGCGATCCGATCCAGTGGCGGCTCACGCCGGTGTTGCTCAAGGGTCCGTTTTCTCCACAACTCTCTTCCTGCTGCATATTAAGGATCTGCTTATGCCCGGTATCTATGGGTATGCTGTCGACAGCACAGTTGTAGAGAGATACCAACCAAGTGCCCGGGCCAGTCGGGATCAAATCCAGTCCGAAAGAAAGGCTATGGTTGAGCGTGTGAGTCTCACACTACAGGCAGTTTTCGAATGGGGCGATGCCAATCTCGTGAGATTCAACGCTTCCAAAATACAAGTGTGTCTTTTCACCGCTAAAAGGAGCCCGCTCACCCTTTCGCCTACTTTCCGGTATGTATTCTTGGAGTATACTAACCGCCTACAGTTGTTAGGGGTTAAATTTTCTCCGAACCTCAACTAAGGTCGGTTCATCGAGTCCAGAGCCAAAGCGGCCAACCAAAAGTTATACTTCGACTTTTTTATACTGCGTACAGCAAATGATTGGAATAATTGGCCGGCGTCTATCTTTCCGTCCGAATACAATCTGGGCGTCTTCAAGCCAAGAGCGAATAGGCTTTTTTTTACGATAAGACAGTCCGATGTACCATCTAAGGCTGCATCACCACATACCACCAGGTGAGATAGTGGTCAAGCACTGGCTTATAAAAAGTAAAAAAAATCAGAGCCTCGTACATGTATCAGCAGGGTACACCTCATTGAGGTGATATTCACATCTGGGGAAACAGTTGATATTCTCTTTTTATAAAACTAAAGTGACAAAAAAGGGTCTTCAGTCAACAGTCATGAGGTTCCACGTTCGAATCCTAATTTGAGCCAAAATCATTTATTGAGTTTTCTGTCAATAAATTTTCAGCAGCAATCTCGAGTCAGAAAGTTGGCAGTGTTTCACCACCGTGACTCGAAAAACACGTAATGCCATTGGTGCTATGCTGGTAATCCGCCATCGTATCGTCGTATCGGATTACCGTCTCATCGAACTAAGAGAGTGAGGAAGTAGAGAGTGCACCTGTGTTTGCAATACACTTGGGCTTTACAATCCTGTCCTGCACAGGTGGCTAGTCTACGTTAAGACTGAGCGCCTTGACTGAAATTCGGCCTGGGGGATTTTTTACACACATATTTTTTTATTTTATAAATTTTTTAAGCATTTTACGAGTTTAACTTTGATCTTTAAAAAATCTTTACTTTATTGTCCACAGCATCGCCAACTGACACTAAAATGGAAGCCAAAACCCCCAGCTTGGGTATAAAGTTGCGCCGATGGTGTAGAAGTCGCCGCTGTCAATTGTGGAGATTACTGCTTCTGCCATTCATCCCTATTCTCGCCCTAATCGTGCAAACTACGCTGTCCTTGAAGAATAGTCTTACTAACGGAAGAGAGGTGGCTGATGTGGAAGAACAGGTAGTGTATTAACTTTTAGATTAGAAGATTCTAAATTATTGAAACAGTCTCGTCTCCTAAAATAATTTCTTGTATTATTTTATAATGGCCGCTATATTCTTTTCAAATTTATGATTAACAAGTGGTAAAATTAAATTTTTGTACAGCCGACTACAATATAAATAAAATGAGAACATCATCAATCTAGTCGAAGTCAATTAAATATGCATTATTACGGATAACTCAAACACTCCTGGTTCGATCTTGATAAAATTTATATGGAATTACATTAGAAGTGGCAGCTTTCAATCAAAAAAGATTTATCAAAATCGGTTCACATAGAAAAAAGTTCTGAGGTAACAAACAGAAAAAATACAATGAAATTGTGAACCCCTTCTTTTATTGAAGTCGGTTGAAAAATTAAAACAAATCTATCGAATATTGTCAATTTAAAGTAATAAATAATGTATATCGTCCAACAGTAGATATATATATATATATATATATAGATTAGAGCGTTAGAATTTACTGTCCGAAGAATTTGAAAACCAAGAAGTCTACGGAGCCTGGTTGAGAAATAGAGGTGGCCTTCGCGATAATCCTGCCTGCTATTTCCAGACCTTAGAGATATCCGCTGCCTGTAACACGCCTGTTCGCTATTTGTAGACCCACTTATATATATATAGTCATGTAAACCAGTCATCTACCTTCTAGCGATTCTTGACCATCGTACCTCCTAGTGCCTAGAAGATTACGTTGTAATCGACGATGCTTAATATTGCAATATTTGAAGATATGTGGAAGAGAAATGTAGATGTCTTTTTCTTCAATTACAGTGATATTTCTTTAAAGAAAACTTTAATGGCAATAACTTTTTAGGTCACTTTTAAGCACAGCACATTATTTCAAATTGATATTACGTTTCTTTGCACGCAAACTTGACAATTGTTAGCCTCCTGAAATAGTCTGTTTTCAAATAAGTTTTAGCATAAACCAAATACTCCTTACTCATCACGTAAATACCACTTAAACCTTCCCTTAAGAAAATTATATCAATGACTAAGAAGTAAAATCCATCATTATGTCTGTCGTATGAAAATTACGAGAAAGCTTTCGACTTTGTCTAAATTAAGAAAATTTGTCTTAACCTTATCTTACCATTACCACTATCATTATGAAAGTCCACTGCTGCATCCCCCATAGGTTGCCTCATAGGGGGAATATTTGCCAAAGTTACCACGCTTGGTAAGTTTTTTTTTTTATAGGATAGGGTGACAAACGAGCACACAGTCCACCTGATGGTAAGTGGTTGCTGCGGCCCATAGACTAACTATCTTCCATTACAAATCAAAATGCAGATGCGTTGTCACCCGTGAGGACTGAGATGGAATGCCTCATTTCCAGTAAAAAGGGTCTCCGGTTCTCTACACTCACCATACGAAATACAGCAGCATTAAGCTACTATTTCACGCTGGTATTCACGCTTGGTAAGTGGGTTGGTGACAGCAGTTTTTATTTTTATTTCAGTCGTTATTATGAAGACGCTGCCCATCTTTTGATTGGTTTCCTTCTGCCGCCTCTTACGACAGCCACCGGATGATATGGAAGAGCAGATATTCTTACACCAACCCTACCTATTTAATACTTGAAAGATAAAATGAAGTGATATTAACGTTAACAATGTAACGTTTACTAAAAGACGTTTTGATTTCTTAGACTAAAAAGAATATGGTAAAAAGTTCCTATACCTGACCTATATACTTGATCCTTATGCCCAAGAAGGTAATTTTAAATATAGATCTAAGTGCTAATTGAAAACTATGATATGTAAACAGACAATATTTTTTATTTTCAAACGAAAATATTTTTTCCTATGTCATCGACTGATTTTATGAAATACAGTTCTAATTATGCAGTGTCAAGTCCCAGCGCTCTAAACGTCAACGTTAGGACATGCCGTAGATAAAATATGCACATTGACTATTCATTAATTTGTAAGAGGTCAGGTATATTATTTTTAAGTGTATCAAAAGTCAACCTAATACTTTTGTTTTATTTTTGTCTTAATTAGTTGTAATTTACAGCAGTGAATGTGTGTAATTCACAGCTGGTTGTATGAGGACGCTCAAAGTCGCTCAGCGAGCTATGGAAAGGGCTATGCTCGGAGTTTCTCTGCGTGATAGACTCAGAAATAAGGATATCCGCAGTAGAACCAGAGTGACCGATATAGCCCAACGGATTAGTAACCTGAAGACCTTTTTTACGTGGTAGAGCCATGCTGCAGTTATATTAGTAGTATAGTTGTAGCACGAATGGGTCGGCTCGACCGGGGAAGGACCACGCTCTCACAGAATACCAGCGTGAAATAGTAGCTTAATGCTGCTGTATTTCGTATGGTGAGTGCAGAGAACCGGAGACCCTTTTTACTGGAACAAGGCATTCCATCTTAGTCCTCACGGGTGACAACGCATCTGCATTTTGATTCGTAATCGAGGATAGATGTAGATGTCTATGGGCCACAGCAACCACTTACCATCAGGTGGACCGTGTGCTCGTTTGTCACCCTATCCTATAAAAAAAAAAGTGGCAATGGGCCGGCCATATAGCTCAAAGAACCGACAACCGTTGGGAAAAAAGGTTCTCGAGTGGCAGCCTCGTACCGGTAGGCGAAGTGAAGGGCGACCCCCCACTAGATGGAGTGATGACCTGGTAAGACATGCAGGATGCAGGTGGCTCAGGACCGTGCTTCGTGGCATACCTTGGGGGAGGCCTATGTTCAGCAGTGGACTTGTGAAGGGCTGTGATGATGATGATGATGATGAGTTGTAATTTTGAATTGTTATAAGGAAGATTGTGCATCTACATGGTTTTACAACCACTCAAAATAATAAAAAAAAAACTTTTTTTTATAAGATAGGGAGACAAAGAAGCACACAGTCCACACGGTAAGTTTGTTGCTGTGTCCTATAGACATTTGCATCTATCCTCGAATACGAATAAAAGTATAGACGCGTTGTCATCCCTTAGGACTAAGATTTAATGCCTCGTTTCCAGTAAAAACGGTCTCCGGTTCTCTACACTCACCATTCGAAACACAGCAGCGTTAAGCTACTATTTCACGGTGGTATTCTGTGAGAGCGTGGTCCTTCCCCGGTCGAGCCGACCCATTCGTGCTACAACTACACTACTAATATAACTGCAGCATGGCTCTACCACGTATCATCGATCTGCGAACTCCGACCTGTCTACCAGTCGATCTTATCTTATGAGGCTATACATTTGGGAGATCTATATTTAGCAGTGAACGTTTAGTAGGCTGTTAGGGAAGAATATCATTAAAAAAGTGTGTTTGTTCTAAATTGATCAATGACCAATAACCACAGCATTAAAACAGTAAAAAGCTTAAAATATAAAATAACTTGTCTTTCTTAACATGTAAAATTGTCTAGGTGCAGCTCGACTCATATATTCGAGAAAATTGTAGTATGGGTATATAATATGCTGCTCTACTTTAGTGCGAATTCCAGGATAACTTCTATCCTCCTACCTACCGGAAGTCTTTTAAATGCATTAATTAAAAAATCGTAGATTCGAGTACAGAATTTTGTGAATCACTCCTATCATAATGGTAATGCAATGCTATTAATGTTAAAAATATTCCTGCTACTCTTTTTTAAAATAAAAGAACTCAACTTCTTTGTATTTAAAGTTATTAGAATTCAAGGTTTTTTGCGTTGTTTATTTAATTGCCAAGTGACACTTCGATTCAAAATTCTATTGGTATTTGCGGGTATCTAACCCTTATTGGTCGCTTGTTCTAACGTCCAGCAAGCCAAAAATAGTGACTATCACTGTTCTTACATAAATTGGGATTTAACAAAGCACACTTAATCCATGACTATCCGATTGCTCTCTGGTAGTGTCTGGCTCTTCACTACTCTGTATGTCGGCTTCACTACTACGTCTTACATGAAAATTTATAGCGTTTACCAAGAACGGAATAAATTTTCTTTTAGAATCTATTGATTGAAGAGTCACTTAATTAAAAGGCGACGATTAAGGCAGTCTAATGGACAACCAATAGATTTCTATTTAAGCTTGAATGAACAATGGAAAGTTTGCAACTTTATTTTCGTTTATCATTAAGGTTTTCTTTTAATGTCTATTCTAAGAATAAATATTATACTTTATTATCCGTACTAGAATTAAGTATTTTATTTTGTAGCTTTCCTATCTTCTTTTTTACTAAGTGATTAGCATAATGATGCTTAGATACTCATAATGTAAATAGCAATTCTATTTCTCTATTTTAAATTAAATAAATGGTGTGGCCATATTGACAAATTAAACAAAATGCTCATTGTGAACATCGCATTCGGTCAACGTGGCATTGGTGTCACACCGGACATGTTGTTCCAGTGGTCGTGAACGCGATTGTTTATAAGATTGATGATGAGGTCCCGGGAAGGAATCTCGGGCCGGGCCGAAATCGGTTTTTGGGTGTTTAAGAAATTCACAGTAGTCCAGAGTTAGGAAGTTGGCAATGTTTCACTCCCGTGCCTCGGAAAATATTTCATCATAGCCGTTGCTGCTGCGCCTGATTTCTCGTGCGTCATATCCGATTACCGTCCCATTGGACTATGAGGGTGAGGAAATGGAGAGTGCACCTGTGTTCGCACATACGATCGGGCACTATAATTCCGTCCGGCGAAGGTGTCTAGTTTCCATTGACACTAGCCACCGTGACCGAAAATTAGCTTGCAGAAAATCGTACCGACCCGTGACCAAGTGACTTCATTTTTAAAGTTAAAGAAAAAAATATTGCCTATGTACGTTCAACTACTGAGTACTGACCTTTCATTTTATTAGAGGGTTTTTAGGGTAAGGAAGTATCCGCCGCGCTCCACCAGTGTGTGTTGTAGTTTCGTTTCCAAAGTATATATTTTCCGTTATGAAAATAAATTTATTGTTTCCTTTCTACAGGTCAGCCGAGCAACCGAACTCGGAAAACTGGTGACCAGGCTTCAACAGGAGCGATCAGAAGTTGCATTTTTTATCTTTACTAACGGCAGCACGTTGCGGTAAGTTTCACTTAACTGGTATTGCGTTTTATGTTACCTCAATACATTTTGATGAACTAATCTTTCTCTCTATATTTCTATACTTTCAACATGATTATGGACTTATATGATTGTTTTAATAAAATAAAGATGAAAATCCGGCTCACAATCCACCTGGTGGAAAGTGGATACTGTGACCGATAAACCTTTACATCTGTCTTCGTTCAAGGTTCAAAATGCAGATGCGTTGTTACCCCTGAGAACTAAGAGGGAATGCCTCGTTTCCAGTAAAGAGGGTCTAAAGAGGGTCGGTCCCGGTTCACAACAATCACCATACGAAACACAGCAGCATAAGGCTGTTATTTTACGCTGGTAATCTGTGAGAACGTCGTCCTTTTCGGGTCAAGCCGACGACGCATTTGCGCGACAACCATAATATAGCTGTAGCGTGGCTTTATCACGGATTGTAATTTTGTCACGTAATTGGAATTTTTTATTTACAAAATAACTAAATTCAATAACAAAATTCTTCACAATAACAATATTCGTGTTGATCCATGGCATTGCACTTATAAACCAAGCAAATAACTGTCCTTTTAGATTCTACAGTATTATCTGTATAGATGTAAGATTGTCGCGTAAGCGGAAATTTTGCCAGAGTTGCCATGGTTGGCAGGTGGATTGGCAGCCGCAGTTTTTTTCTAGTTCTTAAAAGACGTTGCTGCTTATCTTCTGGTTTGTTCTCTCTGTCGCCTTTTGCGTTAACCAAGCGTATGTGCCCACCTAAAGTATTTAAATAATTTTTCTAAGAAATTTTAACACTTCTCTACTAACATAAAATGCCTGATCATGCATTTTTTATCATCGACAGATTATAAAACTATTATTAGGTAATTATGTCGAAGCATTTCTATCGTTCAGATACCTTGGATGTAATTGAACTTCATCGCGATATAATGTCACTGAATTGACTAGCTAGAACTTTTATTTTAATATTAGCATCTAAATAGGCTGATTTAAATATTTTAAACCTTCGCCGGTTCTGTTACAACATCTGACGGTACATTAACGTAAAGCAGACCGAATAAGCGCAGTTTAAATTAAGCCTTAATATGGAATTTCCAAACAACTGCGTATAATATAAAACGTACTCTACACTTCACGTTCGTATTTTCGTTCGTTCGTTCGTTCACACGTTCCCTGGGCTGAACACCTCGGTCGGCATGAAATCGCCTCATTTTAATCTACCGCTAAAACCGTCTTAAACCTAAGAATCGTGTTAGATATGACGTAGAAAAAAAAACAATCTATATTCAAGACACTTTCATAGCATAGTAGAAATTAGCAATATAGTGTGGATATTCAAGAACACAACATTTTCTAATTTGTTCTAATTTTATATTAATAAAGAAAACCCAAGCAAAATTTTTTTTGGACTTGAGTTACTGATAATACTTTTAATGCTCAACTTTTAAAATAACAAGTGCATTCAATGATATCTTTCAGTCAAAGATCATAGCAGTGTAAAACGCTTACATATTTGTTCAGCGGTTCTTGAAATAAGCGTGGTCATTTAAGAAGATAGACACTTGCCACTCACTTGCTTTTATACTACGTTAACATTTATAAATAGATTATTATTAACATATTAAACCTTTTTTATAAATTGAAGCAGTCGTTTCATTACTACAAGATTTATAAGAGACAGCTTGTTTGTTAAACATTTTCTTGATATAAAAAGCGTATAATGATGTATCTTGGTTAAAGTACACCCAATTTGGGTATACTTTAACCAAGATACATCATTATATTCGTTTTTAATTTTGTCTGTGTAGGTATTACCCTTTTACCTATAATTGCCGCTAAACAATATTATGAATATAATTGAATATTAATAATAATTTTACTCAATCTCATCAAGAAGTTGCTACGCCTTTTGAGAAACATTTTACTGGTGTCCCTTTTTTAAATTCCATAGAGTATTCCCAAAAGATATCGTTAAATATTAATAAAATATTTATGTTAAGAAAACGGCAGACATAGGGGATTTTTGTTAAAGTTATTGCATGTGTAAAAGCTACAATAGCACCTTCTTGAGCCACTATTTATAATATAATCGTCAAATGTGACGTGTTCCCTGATTTAATGAAACATAGTAAAGTCATGTCTTTATTTAAATCTGGTATTCGAAACCACCAACTTTAGACCAACTTCCGTATACCAACATTTAATTTTTTTTAAAAATCAAAAAATTTTATATAAATAAATTGACGCCGCTGTTGAGCTTATTAAATATGATATTTTTGTGCGTAGGAGATGTTTTGAGTATATTTTGAGACCTTTTCAATGCTTTCGACTATGTTGACTGACTGTATGGATCATTAATCAGGAATAGTCAATAATATAACGCTTGAACTTATTACTTCATATTTAAATTATAGAACGCACAAATTTATTACCAATTCTGAAAGTTCTTCCGGGTCACTTGTAATTTGTGTCCCTCAAGGCTCGGTTCTCGGCTAATTCCTATTTATAGTCTATAATAATCACTAACCTTCCCTTCTGGGGCATAATTATGATATAGTATTATTTATAGTTGATACTTTCTTGATTTTTAAACTTAAACGACAATCATTTAAATATGACGCATGTAAATAATGTTATATCAAAATTAGTGCATTGGTTTTATGTTAATAATCTAAGTACCTATATTGAAACGGCAATAAAACTATATTAATAACGTTTACAACAATGAATGTTAAAAATTGAATACCCATGTGTTTCTAAGAGAGGAGGAACTGAGCCCAGTTTAATCCACTGTTTTGCTTGACATCACTACGCATAGCGACACTGGGGCGCTCATATTATATTTGAACTACAAAGTAGACTAAGCTCTGCAGCCCATGCTGTAAAAAATATTCTCACTAGATTAGTTTATCTTAATTATTTACATAGCATAATATTTTATAGGATTCCGTTATAGCGAAATGCGGCTGATTTAGAAACCATTTTTGTTTTGCTGAAGAGGGCCATGGGGGCGATTTATTACCTAAAAACGAGAGTCGCTTAAAGAAAAAAATACGTGTGGCACTCGGTGACTGCCGCGGTAAAGCTATTGCATAGCATTTTTTATCAACTTATGCAATTATAATTATTTATTTATTTTATTTATGCAGTTAAGTCTTTGATATTAAATCAAGTTACACTTTTTGAGCGCGGTGACCGATAAGAAAACAATTTTTTTTCTCTTATTATTCAATAAGAGAAAAAAAAATTGGTTTTTTTTTTAGTGTTTATTTTTATTCAAATGAGAAGTTAATATTGTTTAAAATATTTTTAATATCTTACAATACATGTAGGTTATTCAGGAATTTTTATCATTGAGTTAGCAGCTAGTGTACACGCATACGTCTAGTCGCACGCACACAAACACCGTACCGAAGTCTGCCGAGATGCCGAACTGAAACGACGTTAGACGATGCACGGCTTTCAACGCCACACCTCCGTGCCCGTCGGAGTGGGGAGCGTGAGGTTTTTTTTCGTTACGGAATTTCTGGATTCGGTCCCCGCGCTCAAGGCCCGCAATAGAAGCTATGCAATAGCTTAAAATTTAAAGAAATAAATATATTGACTTTGGCCTCTCAGTATATTTACGAAAATTCAATCTCTATTACCGAGTTAAAAATTTAAATTAAAAAAAACTGTATAAAAAGGATATTATCATATAAATGAATAAATGGTCGATAATCTTTGGAAATGAGGTGGCCGCTTTCAAGCTGTTTCTAAAATAAATATTGTGAATGTTTTTTACAATCTACCATATTGTATAATTTACTTTGAACAAAAAACGTCCGCTGGGTTGGGACAGAGGCTTTTATCCGAAATAGTGGTAAAAGTAAAAAATGACAGGACAGTAGCCATACGCAGGCTATGCCAATGTATAATTTTAAAAATATGACACAGCGGTCCTACATATGCGTACAATAAAACTAGTTGCAACCGCACTGCTTACAAGACAAAATGTAGTTGTGCGACTGAATCAACGTCCTACAAGCATGCCAAATAGTTATAACTATGGTCCCTTGGGAGAGATGGTAAAGCCTTAGTGGAGGATACTACGTGAGTACACATTTTTATAGCCTTTCATTTTAAGGGGTACCTCGTGAAGAGCCGGGGTGGCATCAGAGGCGGTTAAACTGAGTATGTTGTTTAAGTCTTAGCCTCTGAGAGATGACTACGAGTACATATATGTGCCATTTGCTGTAGAGAATGTCGGCCCATAAGATCGACGGACGGTAAAGTTCCTAAAGGAATTGTATCCGAGAATACAATAAAAATTAATTATGATCAAAATCTAAGTATTAGTTAAACCATTCAGCGTGAAGACTCAGACAGCATAATTGGCACTCTACCGCGGGGAGTATGACTGTATAATAATTTGTTTTTAGTTTTGTTTTTAAAGATAATATGTAAATGATAGCTACCTAAAAAAATCCACGAACTCCAAGAGATGAAAGGTTAATTAGAATTTCCATAGAGCAACACACGAGGGGAGAAGCCATGGTGTTATTTTCCGACACCAAACTCTCTGCATTATTTGTGGGGGCAAATCTGCGCCACACATACTTGTTCAGAGTCCCACATAAAAATAATCGTCTGTCAATGCGAAACCCACACACGACAGTTAAAATAATACATTTACAATTTCACACACACACACATAGATACATTCTGTGTCATTACCTTAGACTAATTATTATCACCTTAGATTAATTACATACATAGGTATGTATATAGAGAACCTATAACTTTACATAAATTGAGTCAATATACTAGTCTTGCTTTATCTAATTTTATCTATAAATAAGGCAAAATAGACAACTCAACAAAAAACGACATTTGCAATGGATGTTGTCGTTTAACTATGATGATCAGTTAGCACAAAGCGCTTTTTTAGAAGCTTCCTTGCTATGGGCTTCTTGAGAAATTATGCAATTAATGCTAATGTTCCACAAGGCTGC